TTTTTTTTTAGCTGGGGATGGACAAAATACCTTGATTTTACTTATTTTTACGTGGTGCTGAGGGTCGAACCCAGGGCTTCACGGGTGTTAGGCAAGCGCTGTACCACTGAGCCATAACCCCAGCCCGGCTGCAGCATTTCTAACTAAGTACACATTCACGCCTCATTTCAGGACCCTCAAAGTCGGGTCAGTTCTCACTATCTGGAGACGCTATCCTCTTCCCCAGAACTTTTTTTCTTTTCTATGTGGTATTGGAGATGGAACTCAGAGTGGCAGGGTTCTTTACCACTAAGCCAAATCCCCAGCCCTTTCTGTTTTTCATTTTGAGACAGGGTTTCGCTGAACTGCCCAGGCTGGCCAACGAACTTTCAGCTCTCCGGCCTCGGCCTCCGCAGTTTTGCTGGGATCACAGGTGTGTGCCACCTTGCCCGGATCCCCTGAACACTTCTATTCTGCCTCCCATCTGCAGAGATCAAGGTTGAGGGAAGTCAGCTACCACAATGGCTTCCTTCTCCTTCTTGAAGGCCTGCTCCCTGGCCTCCATTTCTTCTGTGGTCGGGACGTGGGATGCCCCTTTGATTCGCTCAAACTCCTCGGGGCTGATGATCAGGGATTCTCCAGAGGGGTCCTTCGATGGGACACTGACACAGGAATGAATGGAGTTAGGGGAGAGAGAGCCAAAGCCCCGGGCACCCTGCTCCAGACTCTCTCGCCCTCCCTGCGCCCTGCCAACCCTCCAGCATGGACTCAGTCAGTCACAGGGGAGACTGCATCTGCACAGTCATTGGAGGAAAGGGCCTTAGGTGAGCAGTGTAGACTGAAAAGACACATTTTAAGTTCTTTTTCTGTAAGGTCCAGCTCATAGGCTACCTTCTCTGTTCAGCTGCCCAAGACCCACACCCACCGGGCCACCAGGCCCCATAGATCACCTCCTCCTCTGGGCCCCCACCACACCCTGTTCTTCATGCCTACATCCTGGCCAAAGGGATGCAGACTCTGTCCTGACAATACTGATGGCCTAGTCTCTGGCACAGTGATTGGTACCGAGTGAGCACTCCAAAGCAAGCTGTGGAACTGAACCTTAAAAATAGATTATTCCTGATGACATATAAAGGGCAAGGGGACGCCAGACAAGGTTGAAATAGATGCTGGTGAGAAATGTAAATATCCCTGTCCATCCAGCTGAGAGAGAAGCTTTGAACCCTAAATATTAATTAAAATCTCTGATCAACAACTGCTGGAGACATGTCTATAGACCTCTCCTGGTAGCTGCCCAACGCATTCAACAAATCTATAGCTAATTATAATGATTACAAACAAATGACAGACATTAAAGATGGGGGAGGGAACGGCTGGGGGGTAGGAATTAAAGCTGCTTCTGGGTGAGGCAATTTAACAGGTACAAAGCCGTAAGACGCAGACGGTATAAACCAGGAAGTGAAATCTCATCTAATAAAAGCGGTGTGTGTGTCGGGGGAGGGAGTATTCAAGAGGCAGACCAAATGAGTGAGTGTCTGTGGGACTCAGCCAGGTGACATGGCCCAGCGTGGATCTGGAGTGACTTCCTAAGTGACAGATCTGAATCTAAGGACCAGCGCTTGATTCCCAGTGCATCTTCAGCACAGGACCACTCCAAAGAAGGAACCCTTTCTCAGGACCCCAGGCCTGGCTGCACAGGATGCTGACCACATCTGGCTGTTGGATGCTGGGGCTGGCCAGACCAAGCTCAATAAGGGGCTGTGGTCAGGCCCAGCTCCTACTCTACGTACCAGCTCTTCTTCCCCAGCTTATGCCTCAGTCAGCATTTTCTGGGAATTCAAGTTCTTAGCGGGTAGATCCAGAGTAGGAAGAACAGTTACAGAGGGTGAAGCACTAATACGAGAGCTAAACCACTGAGCGTCAAGTTGGCCCGTTGCCTTTTTTCTGAGCTTGGCTCGAACCCCGTACGTAGGAGGGGTCCATGCAAGGGCTGCGCTCCAGTTGGGAAGCAAGGCTGAGCTAATCCCAAAGGAACCCAAGGAGCTCCTCAGATAGCCTCAGAGTCTGGGAAGGCTAATTAGGCATCTGGTCAGTTTCCCTTCGCTTCAGATTCTTAATGCAGCCCAAAGGAAGTGACTCATCTGGATCACTTCCCTTTACTGGGTTTGCTAACAGAGACTTAGAGAGGACCCACTAAGCGCCTCCCCTCTCCCGGTTCCTTAGATCCTCTAGCCAGCAGAAGAGAGAGAGGAAAAGCAGCTGGGAATGATGGGCAAGAGTAGACACAGCCAGGGAGAAACATGAGAGGCCCGGATGAAGAAGAAAGACCCATGAAACTAAAGGGGGACATGAATAGGAAAGAAGCAGGGATTGGGCCGGCAGAAGGAAACCTGGTGAGTTTCCCCGTCTCCCCGCAAAATTCTTCAGAGGTAGCACAGGCTGAGTGAGGGAGACCGTGGGGGCTCACATGAGTTCTCGGACCATGTCCCGGGTGATGAGCTGGATGGTCTCCGGCTTGTGATCCAGGCCCAGGGCTGTGAGAGTTTTCCGGATGGTATGCTTATCTCGGAGCAGCACAATGGGGCTGTCGCTCTGGCCCTGGGCCAGGGGCTGTGAAGTCAGAAAGACATCTTTAGAAGCTGGTCACCCCACTTCCTGCTGTTTAGTCCTAACTTCACACGTAGCCTTCCTCTCTCCTGCGCTTTCCACCCCACCCAGGGGCAGGGGAGGCTTGCTGGCCCAGACTGCAGGACCACCTTGAGTCCTGGGAAAGCAGCGCTGGATGCTCGGTACTGACCGACTCTTCTGAGAGCTAGGCCTCCTGTTCTCAGCACAGCATGGTCAGGGACAGTAGCAACAAGAGGGGAGGAGAGGAGTTGCTAGTGTGTATCTAGCCCGACTTTAAAATCATCAGGAATGACAAATAAATTTTTGGTCTCTAGGTTCTCCTCTCTTCATAAAAGATTCTCCTCCATCAAAGAAGGAATTCTTATCTCTCCTGGATTACATTGCGATTTTGAAGCCAATACAATTTGTTATAGACTAATACAGTCTATGATATTAGTAATTTTTCTTTCTAATAATGAATCCCTTTGAACACTTTCTAATAATTAATTTGTGTCAAACCAAAAATAAATAAATAAATAAAAGCCATACTGAAGGAGTCACACATAACTAATTGGCCAGAGACGCGCTCTTAAAATCCAAGACGGTGAAAAAAAATCAAAGAGTTAGAATTTAGCAAAAATTAATACAGATTAGATTATGATTTTTTTAAAACTTCTGACTGTGTCAGAATCAGATAACAAGAAAATGCTTATTCCTGGGATTGACAAAACACAGGAGAGAATTCATTTGTCATTAGTGCATCAAGTGGGACCCTGACGGGCGGCGGGGTGTGGCCTTGCCTATCCTAAGAACTTTCCACACAGTCCCGAGCCCTGCTGCCACCTGGTGCCCATCTCAGCTTCCAGGCGAGCACCACTCGGTCAAGCCACAGGCCACTTCTGCCCCCTACTGCCCGCTGAGAGACTTCCTGGACTCCCACCCTCCCTAAGGCCAAAGAAACTGAGATGGGGTCAGAATTTTTCCTTTTTATTAGCCAGCACAACTGCTCCTGGAGCACTTGGCCACTTCCACACCTCTCTTTGCTATTACTAGAAAACTCCATATGGGCCCGAAATAAACAAAAACCAAAAGTAAGTGAAATTGCATTTCTTTGATTCTTTCCCTTAAAAATAGGAAAATTGTGGCAGAGTGGGAGTCTTCTAAATGGGAAAAAAAAAATGCCCATCTGGAAACTTCTGGAAAGTCTGCTCCTCTCTACAACCTCCTCAGCTGCCACAGGTATTCACACCACCTACAATCCGCCCCCCCCCCCACCGTTGGAACTGGGGATTGAACCCAGGAGCACTCTACCACTGAGCCTCATCCTCAGCCCTTTTAATTTTTGAGACAGGATCTCACTAAGCTTCCCAGGCAGTCTTCAAATTTGCAATCTTCCTGCCTCAGTTTCTGGATTCACTGGGATTACGTGCATGTGCCACCACATCCAGCTCACAGTTCCTTCTTCTGTCTCTTCTCTTTCTCTTCATCTTTCAGGATCCCACTCTCCGTGTCTCATTCTCTATTTCTCCTTCCTTCTCACCTGTGGAACTGTTTCAGAGGAATTCTCTATACCTCTCCCTTTCTTGACTAAAGGGATTGTCAACCCTGGATGAGGCTTGCAAATAAAAACCTTCCCGTTTCCCAAATCTAAGTACTTGTTTCAGTTGAGCAAGTGAGAAAGGAGGTCATTTGTGCTGTACTCTGATGCTCTTCTTTGGTGGAAAGGGAAGACGTTCCTCTACGTCCTCAAGCTGTGCCCACCAGCCCTCAGTTGGTTCATCCTGGGGCTTTCACTGAGCCACGGCGGAGCTCTCTGTGGCTGAGCCTCCCTTTGACATGACACCAGATCTTAAATGCTGAGAGGGAAGAAGCCAGGCAGCCCCGTCTACACAGGCCATGCTAGAGGCCACACTAGAGAACAGAGATCAACAGTACTGGTCTCAGGATTCCCCTCTGTTCTCTGTCTGAGATTTATCTAACAAAGTGTGATGACTTTGACCTGTGCCACACTGGTCTGGGTCACTGCCCAGGTGACAGATACATGGAGGGACTTGCTGAAGGCTACTTTTTTTTTTTTTTCTGGTACTGGATATTGAATTCAAGAGTGCTATACCACTGAGCTACATCCCTAGCCCTTTTTAGTTTTTATTTTGAAACCGAGTCTCACTAAGTCAGACTTCCCAGGCTGCCCTCAAACTTGCAGTCCTCCTGCTTCAGCCTCCCAAATCACTGGGATGATAGGCATGCACCACTGCACCCATTTCTGAGGGTTACCTTGACGCCTCCAAAGAGGCTCTCATCTACTTCAGAGTTCATGGCTTTGGTCCGATAGCGAGTCCTATTTCGTGACCTGTTGGAAGCTGAAGAAGAGGAGCTCAAGATGCCAGTTGTGCTTAACGGCTGGAAAAAGAAAAAAAAAAAACTGGAGTCATCATAACTGAGTGGCATTCAGACTCTGGGCAGAAAACACTGTCAGCCCATGTTGGGAACAGAGGGCAGGCATGCGAGGAAAGTTAAGGAGAGCACTTGTGTGAGCCCTGAAACATGGGGGACAAATAGCAATAGGTAGACAGCATCCTTGGCAGAGACAAGGCACACTGGCTCCATGAGAAGGAGCATGTCGGTAGCCCCTGCGGCTGAAGAAGGCCAAATTGGTCATGCAGTATGGAAGCAAGGATGAAGGAAACAGAGTGGCAGGAAAGGAGTGACACTTCAACTCATTACTCATGTGCTTCCAGTGTCCCGTATGAACAACCTCTCATGAGGCAATTCAATCTACGCCCCCAGAAATGTAAAGAGTTTTCTTTGCCTCCAGTCTTCTCAGCTTCAGCTCCAGGCCCCCCTCACAAATGACATATTAATTGACCCCTCCTCCATGCCTTGCAATCTCACAAGGTCATGGCAGGGATCAGAGGATATAAAGGATGGAAAAGCACTTCCCCCTCTACTGAGCATGTGGTTGACACTTTAACACACTTTAGGCTATAGATGAAAGATGAATGATCACCAGCTACGGTAAGGCAAACCAGTTAACCAGTTCCTAATACCCACTGTGTGGCTTTTCTCTCCCAGAACTCCTTTAGTGTACATTAGTCATTTAAGCCCCAGGATCTTCTTGTGTTTGCCAACTTTCCATTGTAATCATTGTGGGAATCAGGGCTCATCTCCGACGACGGAAACAGAAAACACCAGGTGTTTGTCTTCCTACTTGGGCAAGGAAGCTAGGCTTAGCCAATGAAATCACCCCAAGCTGACAATGCCTAGGGAAATTACTAATGCAAGAAGCAGAATCAAGAAAGTCTTTCTGATAGAGGCAGCATGGGCAGCCATACCCAGAGTCAGGGGTAACACTGGTGAGGACACAGGTAGCAGCATCCTGCAATCCAAGCTGACAGTGTTAGGGGACAATGGTGTACCAAAGGGTCTTATGAGACCCTTTCTACTTTTGATTTGGGCCTTGGTTCCAGCCATCTGTTTGTTCCTATTTTCTAAGCCTAGTTTCCTGGCTTGGGTGTCAAATCAGTGAGCTCTCCAAAATCCTCTCAACACATTCCCTTCTACTTTAGAGTCTTGCTATGTTACTTATAATCGAGAATTCCAATTCAACACCCTTCATTCCACAAGGTCAATCCAACTGCAGGAGGATTGATCAATCCAATCTCTAGGAGGCAGCTTGTACAAGGAATTTTTTTTTCCCCCTGTACTGGGAATTGAACCCAGGAACACTCTACCACTGAGCAACATTTCCAGCCCTTTTCATCTATTTTCAGACCCAGTCTCACTAAGTTGCCAAGACTAGCCTCAAACCTGTGGTCCTCCTTGCCTCAGCCTATCCCATCTCCTGCCCAAGTCCCTGGGGTTACAAGGATGTACCACCACACCCAACTCCAGGCTTAATCTAAAACTGATTCAAATCTGTCTTTGGAGAAGCCCACATGCCCACCTACCCCCGAACGCACGCATGCACACACACACACACACACACACACACACACACACACACACCACCCCCCGCACACACACACACATATACACACAACACAGCTCTATAAGCTGGGCTACCTTGGGGGAATGGGCTAGACATATTGGGTCCCTCCAAGCCTGGGAATCAGCAGCCATCAAGGGGACAGGGTAAACAGAAATAAACCATGCATTCCAGGTCACTGAACACCGGACAGTGTTTTGAAAGCTCTCTGATCTGCCATTACCAACCAGACCCCCCAAGCACCTGTTCCACCTGTATCAAGGTTTTCACACTAAATTGGGCAATTATTCTCCAGCTGGCTCTGTTCCGAACAATGAGCACTGCTGTGTGTGCCTCTCCCTTGCCGCCTGGCACAGCCAGCAAAAAGCTTAAGAGGGAACCTCCCTTTACATCCTCAGGCAGCCCCAATACAGCAGAGCAGAAAAGCTTGGATTTATTAAAAGGTAAATATAGCAGCCCTGAGGATGCCTAATAACAGCCTCTGAAGGGTTATTATATGGTGGGTGGTGAGCAACTGCTCCTCTTTCCACCAAAAATAGAATAAGAGGAAATGAACAGAAACTGCAGTAGGTGGGATTGAGACTGAACATTGGGAATAACTGGAAAAGATGGAAGAGGCTTTGGATCATGAAGGATGGTCTGAGTTCTGTACCTAATTAAGAATGTGCCTGACACACCGTGGGAACCCAATATGCATTTGTTGAAGAGCAGTGAATGAGGCTGAGCAAGATGACTCTCAAGGCATGCAGACCACATAGAGATGGGTGCTTTGGGGAAACACATCTGCCCTGCTCCAAGCCACTCCACCAGTCCACGTTTTCCAGATCACGTATGTGGTCTGCATTGTGGATAATAATGTATGTGAAAGGGCTTTGGAGTACAGATGGAAAGTATTATTATTGTTTTGCATTTGTTTTCCTGTTTCTTTTCAAGGGCTCCTACAGGTTTTCTCTTTGTGTGTCGGGTCTACCAGGCTCTAGTTCCCTCGAGGGCTCAAGCTGCATCTTCTCCTTCCTGTGTTCTTAGTGCCATGGTCCAGGGCAGTAACCACAGGAAATAATTGATTGCCCGCGCTTAAAAGTCAGAGCAGAGGAAGGAGAACAGATGACCACAGAAAAGTGGCCACTGGGCAGGACAGAGGGAAGCTCTGAGCTCTAGGATTGGGTGTCTGAGAAAACCTCATTTGAGAACTGCTGAGTTGGAAGCCACAAGCCTTACCCCAGGGTTAGAATAATCAGTTTTGCCAAGAGTAACAAGAAGGATTCAGGAGGTCACTACGTAAAAGTACTAGAAAAAAAATGAAAAACCAAGCAGAAATGGAAAGTTGGATCCCTCTGGGCTGGAAGCAATAGCCAAGAGGTTCTTTTAGGAGGTGAAGTGCTGATTTTACATCTTGCATGACAAAATAAATATCTCCAAGAAGCTGAGCAGTGGCCAGAGAGAAGCCCAACTAGTCCTGCTTGGAGTGAGGAAGGGCAGTTCTTGAAGGGAACGTAGCGCTCCCCAGCTCCCAATAGATAAAGAGGCAAGGGGGGATTGGGAAGGATGAGGATTGATAAAGATGCCACCCTTGCTAGGATATGTTCATCTTAGTGACTCAGCTAACTCTCCATACACCATATCCTCCCAGGAGCATGCGAACCCAGTTAGACAAGTGGAGGAGGATGCCAAGTTCAAGGCTAGCCTCAGCAACTTATGGAGACCCTCAGCAACTTAGCAAGACCCAGTCTCAAAATAAAAAATGAAAAGGACTGGGGATAAAATTAAAAGCTCTGTGATGAAGTGCCCTGGGTTCAATCTCCAGTACCAAAATTAAATAAATAAAAATGTGACCAGAGCTAGGGGCTCTTTGAGACAGATGCAGGAAGATTAGCTGTTAAATGGATATTGATTTATACTTATTGATATAGGGTGATCTTCATAACACATATATTTGGGGGGGGCAGGTACTGGGGATTGAACCCAGGTTGCTCTACTACTGAGCTACGTTCCCAGCCCTTTTTATTTTTGAGACAGGGTCTCACCAAATTGCCCAGGCTGATCCTCCTGCCTCCACCTGCCAAGTAGCTGGGATTACAGGGGTGTGTCACCACACCCAGTTCAAAACATAGTTAGTTTTAAAGAAAATGCATTCTGAGAAATATATAGGTATTCCTGCAAAAATGTTTGTATGGAGGATGTACACACAAAATGTGTCACTAAAGCATCTTCACAAAGACGCTTAACAGTAATTTCAAATAAGCTTTACTGTCATAAGACATTTCTTGTATTAAATAGTTTTTTTCCCCAAAGTAGGTAACTATTTTTATGACCAGGAAAAATAATAAAACTATTTTTAGTTGAAAATAAAATGTAACCGTGGGCTTGGAGCCCTGACTCTGATGGCAAGAGTATGGAGCCCATATAAACCACAGCACTGTACAAGCTGGGATCCAGGATGTTTAATGCAAATTTAACAAGACAAAGCTGGAGCAGGACTGGAATGAGTCAGTGTGGAGTTTCCCTGACGTCATTGCAACACCTGTCAACTGAAAAAAGACAAAGGCATGTCCTTTCCTAGATGTCCTCTGCACCCTGGGATCTTGTTCCTCTTTTGTATACAGAATTACCACAGGCTGGCAAATTCAGACTTTAGACTCTTAGCTTGGCCTCACCTCCCTTTGTGTAGACTTTGGTTACCAAGAAGATGGGTATGCTCACACCCAAGGACCCTTGCCTTTTATTCTAAATGATCCATTCAGTTATCCTCTTTCTTCAAATGGATCAGGTTGCCTATCTGTTCTGAGGTCCCTGACCCTCCTTCTGGAGGATGTTATTAATCATAACCTTTGTAAGAGTCCTGTGGGTCTGTCCAACCCTAAACCGCCCCACCCTGCCACCTCTTTTCACTCCTCCTCACCCTCTCAAAAGCTAGTGAGTAGGCTGGGCGTAATAGCACACGCCTGTCAATCTAGCAGCTCGGGAGGCTGAGGCAGGAGGATCACAAGTTCAAAGCCAGCCTCAGCAACAGTGAGGTGCTAAGCACTTCAGTGAGTCCTTGTCTCTAAATTAAAAAAAAAAAAAAAAAATACAAACTAGGGCTGGGGATGTGGCTCAGTGGTTGAGTGCCCCCTGAATTCAATCCCCAGTATTCCAAAATTAAAAAAATAAATAAATAAAACAAGCTAGTGAGAAACAAAACATGGTGAAACATCTAAGTAAGCCCAGCCACTCAGGAGGCTGAGGCCATATGATCACAAGTTCAAAGCCAGCCTAGCAAGACCCTGTCTCAAAATAAAAAATATAAAGGATTGGGGATGTAGCTCAGTGGTAGAACATCCCTGGGTTTGATCCCCAGTACTGCCAAAAATTTTTAAAAAGCTAGAGAGTAGCACCACACGTGCATACACATACACCCACACCCACACACACACACACACACACACACACACACACATGTAAACACACTGTCTGCCAGCAATCACTTTGACTCACTACTTCTCCAAGATGTCCGTATACCAATCTTGTCTGAGGATTTTAGAAGGGCTCACTCAGCTGGCCAAACACCTTCCCTGAGTGGCCCTAGGGTAGGGAATCCCTGAGCCTGTGATCCACAAGTCTTGTCCAGTTGCAACTTACTAATTCATGCTGGCTTGGAAATAGAAAACTTTTAAACAGGAGAAAATGAGAGTTCCATTTCTGTATGCAAGAACAAACAGACATTTAAGGACATGCCAGGTGTGATGCTAGAGCCTCACATACATAATATATACCCTGTGCCAAGGGAAGGGGAGACACTGAATCAAATAAGATGCATAACTGAAAGGGGACTTCATTTCAGAGAGTCCTCAAAAGTTGGGAATTGCTCTTTATTGAAGACGTTCTTATTTCACAATTAACAAAGTTCTTCAAAAATCCATTAAGTCCCAGAAGAGCAACGCAGCCTCTAAGCCTGAAATGTCTTCAAAATTACACCCAAGTAGCCACCTTTAGCACTGGTATGCCAGACATTCTACAGTGAGTTTCAATAATTATTGAAATGAGTCAGTGTGCCTCCCCCAACCCTTCCAGAGCCAATACACTCAAGCACTAGTGTCCTCCTCATAGCTCCTCCCATGTCTTGTTGTCCTTTTCTACGTTCATGACCCTATGCAAATTTCAAGCCTGCCAGACCTATCCCAATCTCTCTTCAGGGCCTGGCAAAAGGAGACCATTCCTGTTCATTCATAAATGAATGAATGTCTATTGACGCCCAATGAATGGTTCAAAGCCCTGCTAACAGAAGAGAAAATGAGGCTCAAGAACATGAGGTGACCTACCCAAAATCACCCTATAGCTTGTTAATGGCATAACAGGTACTAAAACCCATTACCTGGCCTCCTCATCAGTATTTTTCTCCACAGCACATCCCACAATCCCCCTCTTTGGCGGCACCACTTGATAGGCACCACTTAGCCCCATTGCACGTTGACAACCCCTACCGACTCCGCCCTTAATTCCTCTTTTGAACCCCTCCGTGGTCTTCCTTTGCTTTTCCCAAGGTTGTTCTACCCACCCCCAGACCTTCCTGGCCCTCAGACCCAGATCCAGCTTCTGCCCTTGCCAGCCCCCACTTTACCCCCTAACCCAGTTCAGGACACCTGAGCTCCCGCGGCCCAGAGCCTCACCATCTCTGCGGCCTCCTCCGCAGCCCGCACTGCCTCAGGGCACTTGATGTTGACGCGTTCCCATGGCAACCGGAAGCCCGCGCTCCCCGGCCTGGCCCCGCCCCAGGCCCCGCCCCTCCCAGCTCCGGAGGGCGGTCCCAGCGTGCGGCTAGTTTTGGAACCGGAGCTCCTCCCTCCGACCTTTCCCTCCCGGCTCCAGAGAGGGAACAGTGGCTGTAAAGGGTTGAGCCGACGGGATGCGCCCTCCTTTGGCTGAAAGGAGTGGCATTATACAATTGTCTTAGACCGGACTCGAGCCGTAAAGACCCGGGGGCGACTGACTGCCACCTAGCTGCCCCAAGAGCTAGACCTAGCCGGGGTCAAGTTTTTCCCCAGACCCCCTCCTCCCCCGGGGTGACCATGGTTACCGTTGCCCCCAGTGCGCAGGAGGCGCCTAGCCACACCTGATCCTCCTGAGTTTGGTCCACCTCCCGCGAAGCTAGCAGCCTTAGACCAAACAAATTTCACAATAGGAAGGGGAGTCCATTAGACCAAAGAAAAAACTTCCGGCTTTGGATCTGTGCTTGCCATCTCAGGAGCAGTTTCTTCAAAGGCGTGCCTCGGACTTCCCTCTCCAAAGTCTGGGAGAGCTTATTAAAAATAAAAGTAAAAGCTGGGCGCTCCGGCACACGCCTGTAACCCCAGGGACTCGGGGTTGAGACTGGAGGTTCGCAAGTTCGAGGCCAGCCTGGGCAACTAAGTGAGACCCTGTCTCAAAAAGGGCTGGGAATGCAGCTCAATGGTAGTGCACCACAGGGTTCAAGCCCCAGTACTGGAGGGATAGGGGAATAAAAAATCTATGAAACTAGCTTTGGGGAGCTTTTTCCCCCCCTGGTACTGAAAAGATAGCCCAGGGTTGCTCTATTATTGAGCTTCATCCTCAGCCCTTTTTAATTTTTTTTTTTTCTTTTGAGACAGGGTCTCATTAAGCATACCCCATACAACAGGTTGGGAACCTGCTCTTTACACTTTTTCATTTGTATGTTTTGAGGAATTTAATAATATTCTCAATTTGATTTTTCCCTTTTACCTCCCAGCCTTCGGGGGCAGAAATGAATGGCCCTGGACAGCCTACATGCTCCAAGCCTCACAAAGCCTTCCCACCAGCCACGAGGTTTTTCCTTCCTCAGGTGTTGATTAGCTGAGGAAGTAACTCTGTAATTCTGAGACCCCTGCCTCACTCCCAAGCCTCTCCAAACCCTAGCAGCAGTCTTTCTGAACCTTACTCCAACTGAAGCATGGAAAGCCCCTTGGGGAATAGAGGAAGCGAGACAGGGCCACCTGCTGCAGCTTCTAAAGAACTTATTCCAACAAGCTTCACATTCCTTCCCTAGATTTCCTAGCCCTTATCTCCTGTGGGATCCTCAAGAGTATAAAATTGGCACTCCTTTCTCCCGGAAGCCCCACGGAGTTTTAGATCCAAGAGGGGAGGGGAAAACTTAAAAGAATGACACAGTCCTTGAGTGGCTTGGGAGGGAAGGAAGGAACTCTTCTGTTTCTGGCAACTTTCTCACCCTGCCTTGGTATTAGAACCCCCTTTCCTGCAGCCCAGGAGAACAAGTCACCCCCACTGGGGATCAGATGCTTCCAGAAGGTTTTTTACTCAATTTTCTGCCACATTCCTCTGAGGTAGTAATTGTCCCCATAACCAAAAAGGTAGTAATTGTCCCCGTAACCACTGAGGCCAAGAGAGATAACCATCCAAACAAAGATTGTGTTCTTTTCTCCACCCAGACTGACGTGTGTGTGTGTGTGTGTGTGTGTGTGTGTGTGTGTTACTAGGTATTTAACACAGATGTGCTCTACCTCTGAGCTACATACCCAGCCCAGTTTTTTTACTTTCTTTTGAGACAGGGTCTCCCTGAATTGCCCAGGCTGGTCTACAACTTGCAATCCTAAGAGTACAGGCATGTGCCACCACACCTAGCAGCCTGGCTCTTTTGAAGCAAAGGTATAAAGTTGAGGCAGGCAGGAGGAGATGGCAGAGTACAGCTTAAGGAAATCACCTTCAGAGGTGATATTTGAATTGACTTCAAAGCAAACAAACTTCAGACTTCCTGTTCGCAGGAAGACTCACTAAAATTCACAGCAGGGCCCTAAGCTATGTCACTTTAGGCATGTATTTCTATAACTTTGCAAAAGTAATCAACTTAGGGATACATGTATTTTGGATTTGGTGAAAAAACGTTTGTGTGGATTCCATCACTTGCATTATAGTTAAATTACTATCTGTTGTCCTGGTGTGGGAAAGGCTTCCTGGAACAGCCTTTCACTGGATGTCCTGACAGCCGTGTACTGGCCATATTCTTCATATGACTGTGTGCTATGAAGTCTGACACAAAAAGCATCATCGAAGTGAAAGAGAAACAGGTTTAAAATGTACAAATTCAGAAGCCAGTCTGTGAAAAAAAAAAAATCATTCTAACCATCAGTGGAGTAAAATTTTAAGTAAAATTTTAATTTAAAATTGTGTTCTTATCAATGCCTCCTCGGGCCAGGAAGAGACAGAGTCATACAGCATATATAATTATACATTATGTATCTCATCAGAGAAAAAGCTGCCTTCAGAGCACATAAACTAGTTGACTATTGTTTTCTTTTTGTATTCCTCTCTTCAATAGAGTATTTTAAACACACATACCTACTTGAACTTTTCTAAATATAATGAGATGGTCTCTCCATTTTAAAAGTAATCATGTCTTGTGTATTAGTTTTATGCTGCTGCTGTAACAAATGACTACAAATTTAGCAACTTAAAACAACATGCATTTATACAGCTCTAGAGTTTGACCCCAGTCTCACTAGGCTAAAATCAAGCAATCAACAGGGCTGCCTTCCTTCTGCAGACTCTAGTGCATCTAAAGGCTTCCTGTATTCCTTGGCTGATAGCCCCCTTCCTCTGTATGCAAAGCCAGGATCTATGCCTTTCTCTGACCTTTCGTGGTCGTGTCTATCTGCTCTGATTTTAAGGACTCAGAAGATTAGGTTCTGCCTACCTGGAAAATCAAAGATAATCTCCCCATCTCAGGCTCCTTAACTTTATCTTATCTGCAAAGTCCTTTTTGCCATATAAGGTAAATATTCACTAAAACTAGGGATTAAGGGGTGGACATTTGGGCACTGGAATTGGGGTGGCAGGGGAAATACCTTGACCTGCCTATCACACCTTGCAACAGTACAAGGATATTTTAAGGATATTTCAAAGACTTGAAAGAGAAACAAAATGTAAGCCATTTATTTAAAAAGTTGATACAACTTGAATCTGCCATTTGAAACTGCATTTGGGGAAGTCTCTTTGAAGATTTCAATAATACAAGTGAAAATTAACAGATTTCTTACTTGGATGTATATCAACAGTATATTTTTTTGCCTTTGTCACCTATGAATTTATATATTAAAGAACACAAGGGCTGGAGATACAGCTCAGATGGTAGAGTGCTTGCCTCGCAGGTACAAGGCTCCGGGTTCGATCCCCAGCACCACAAAAAAAAAAAAAAAAAGAACATGAAATTGACTTTAAATCAATGATTCATGAATACAAAAGTGATAAAGACAAGCCATGAAATCAGTAGAAATTATTTTGAAATTCAAAAGCAAATTATCACACAAATTTTCAGATAATTCCAAAAAGGTAATTCAATAAGAGGAATAGACAAATTTGAATGAATAGAGTAAGTAAGCACTTACATGGCTTTGTAATGCAGTTAACAAGGAGAAGAAAATCACTTGAACAACTGGGAGAATATGAAATTTCTCGTTGATTTAACAGAAAGCATTGGCGTGGATGGAAAGTACGTGAAACTCATATTAGTACACTAGAATGAGACTTATGACAAACTGATTAATGAGTGCCATCAATTCAAAGAACAGTTAAGATTAATTACTGAACAATGCTCTGAAATCCTACAACTCACATAAAAAAGAAATTTAGGGCAGATTTTCCCAAATTTGACAACCATCATAAAAATCGACATGATTTTACCCACAACAAATTGTGAAATGAAACATTCTAATCTATTAATAATAATAAAAGTGTTGATCAATCCGAGTCAGGTGAAAGAATGAATTACCTTTCTATTCTCTCTATCAAAATTAATACGATAAAATCATTGCCAGACGAAGAAACAAAGAATATGCAATCAAAAAGTCAGGGATTTAAAAAGAGCTTTTTTGAGTTGCTTTAGGTAGTTAATTCATATAAATCTTAGGTTGCTCTTCTACATGTTATAATGTTTATAGAATTTGCCAGCCTTTAAGTTTATAATTTGTTGTGATTTATATTATTATTCTAAACATTAGTTGCTGTAACTAATTTTGTATTAATAATTTGGGCATTGCTTTTCCAAAACTCCAGGCCCTATAAAACCAGATTCCAGCCCTGATAAGCAGGGAGGATACTGTTCCCTTCCCTGGAAAACTTGGCTGGAAGCACAGCCACATCCCGTGGGTCTGGGGTAAGTGCCCTTGCTCTCCCCTGCCACCCCCAGCCAATTCTGCCCACTTCTCCCATCACTATTTCTTTCCCATCTTTCCCTCCTTTTTCTCATCTCATTTCTACTTTTATCTCTGGAATCCTTTTCCATCTACTTGGGTCCCCAAGCTTTCATTTCATTCTCCTCCTGTCCCCTGTCCCCTGTTCATCCTATTCTCCCTGCCCAGCAAGCCAAGGGGTGAGAACAGTGGGGAAGGATAAGAGGTTAAAGATGCCAGAGGAAAAGGGCAGGTCCAGGTTCTGGGCTCAACCCTGACTCCACCCCTGGCTGCCAGCCTGCCCCTCCTACAGACCCAGCCGGCACTCCTGGAGAAGTGTCAAAATAAAGCTTGAATGCCAGCCAGCAGGCAGGAGCCAGGAGCCAGGAGAGAAGCTGAGTCCTGAGGAGCCAGGAGCGGAGGAGCCTGATCAGAGCCCAGCAGTCTCGTGCTGGACTTGGCCCTGGCATTGACTCCCCACCTCCTACTGCGCCTTGGAGCCTTGCTGGGTGCACTGACTCCCACCCTGCTACACCCCGCCCCCTCCCACACACCCCAGATGCTC